TCGTTCCTACTATTCTATAATATACAAAACTTTAGTAATCTCTAAACCTGTAAAAATTTGTATTGGTACGAAGGGAATTACAGATATATGTATAAATAATCACAATACAGTATCTAAAGTTTCTAAAGATCTAAGGAAATGTTCATCTCTGGAACACCACTGTATTAATTCATCTATTGTTATTACTCCATCCTTGTTCGTGTCAATCATCTGGAAAAGAAATTTTATGAATTAAAAAAATAAAAATGCAGTATAGTATTAAATCTTTTAAGAAGCAGTAGAGGATGTTGAAGCCGGAATTCGAATGAACGGAGAATGTATCAATAACATCAGATACGCGGTGCGACGCTGGTACTCGCTGACATTTATGAAGCCCTCCAGGAGTTAATAAATATAATCACAGAAGTGAGTCACATATATGGACTTTCACCGAACATTAAAAAAATAAACTGTATGATGATCTCTAAGAAGGGACAGAAAATTGAAAGAATCAGTGTGAATGGTCAACCGATAGAAAGTAAAAAAATACTCCTACCTTGGTACGAACGTCAATGAAAATTACCTAGAAATAAAATGGAGGATAGAGAAAGCAAGATCTGCATTTCAAAAAATGGCTAAGCTATTCCAATGCCATGATTTATCAGTATCCATAAAAATCAGGTTATTACGATGTTATATCTTCCCTATACTGTTATACGAAGTTGAGTCATGGACACTCACAGACACTACCTGCAAGAAAATGAAGGCTTTCGAAATGTGGCTTTATCGTCGAATCCTAAAGATATCCTATACCGACCACGTTACTAACCAGGGCGTTTTATTAAGAATGAAACATGGAAAAGAGTTTTTAACCACAATATCTTGAATACCTCGGTCACATTATGAGAAACAGCGAAAGATATGGGTTGCTGCAATTAATTCTATAAGGAAAAGTAGAAGGAAAACGGGGACCAGAAAAACGAAATATTTCCTGGCTAAAAAATCTGTGTACGTGGTTTAATCCAACAACAACAAATCTGTTCAGAACAGTTTACAAAATACAGATTGCCATGATGGTCGCCAACATTCGAAATGGATAGACATTACAAGAAGAATACAATCCGTAAATTGCATAATAAAGATTAATGTAAGGCATAAAATGGTAAATTAGTAACTATTTGTAAATCAATACAACTTACGTTAAATATTTTTTCTACGTGTTCCTTGGCAGAAGAATCCTCTACTGCTGGTTGTGTAGCTCTTCCAAGCATTTCATAAATACTAGTAACAACATCAACCATTTCGTTTTTGCTAATGAGGCCATCTCCGTTCAGGTCGTACAGATTAAAGACCCACTGGATTTTTTCGTTGACGGTACCTCTCGACACTTTCGACAAAATATTGAGAAAATCCTGCAAATATAATATCAAAATGTAGATAGATAATAGGCATATAAATGTTGTATGAACAAAATATAGTTATCATACTACAGCAGATCACACAAATAATTTTTCTTATTTTTTGATGGTAAATACTTTTATCATCAACAAAAAACCTGAGTCAATTACTGATAGATATTGCAGGAGTAAATGTACAAATTATAAGCTACAGTTTAGTACACAGTGCAACTTATGAATTAAAATTTATTGAATACATTTGCATGTTTTAGCAATTTTAACAGATTTAGAATTTTAGAATGTTATCAGTAATGTCACAATTTGTTTTAACACAGGTCTTCCTGATGAGAGATGAAACCTACGCGTAGAAGCATAGTGGAGCTTGCATTGAAAAGATATGCAATCGTCTACTTTCATTTTAACATATTTTTTCTACATAAAGTGTGCAAAAGATAATGTTTTTCAAAACAATATTGTTTTTCAACAATACATCTACAATACTGTAGATGTATTGTTGGAATAAAAAAATATCCCTAACATCGTCAAATAGCTTCCAGCAAGCTTGGATTTACAGTTGACCTAATTCTAATTAAAGAGAAGTCTTTTGACATCTTGTTGCTTCATATAGAGATCACTACTAGTATACTAAGGCATGTTATGTTATTGTAAGAGACATTTGGCTATATTTTAATACATCAAATAGCTGCGCAACTAGGACGATGAACACAAAACTAAAGGATCGATTTTTTTAAAATTCTTGTTTCTATTCAATGTCAATTGGCTTAACAGAATAAATAAAGAAAAGACAATGTTTCGCAAACCTAAAGTATTGAGAACCACATTGATCACAAATCTTTAATGGAAAATTTCAAATCTACTTGTAGCTTTTCCTGACTATAATCAGCAACAGCTGTGATAACCCTAAGGTAACAAATTTACTCTCGGTCTGGCATCTAACTCCTATTTATTACTAAACTGTTTAGGTAATTATTCTTGGCTCTTATCAAATAATTATTATATAATAGGCACAGTCGTTAGTAGGCCAATCCAAGGGGTTGACTTTTAACAGGGCAAGTCGTTTACGTATATCTACCGTAATTTTTATTAATTAAGAATAGAAATATGCTCTATTGTCACTGAAAATTGTACAATTTTATGGACAAAGTTTTCAAAAAGTCAGAAAACGAACAATAACAATTTAAAATTTACTAGTTTAAGTTACTGCATGTGATACCCAAATATATATAAAAATACTTTAGTTACTTACGTACTGTAATTTCTTAGTTATTCGTTAAGAAACGCTTACACTGAAAATATGGTCTTTCAGATAGATAGGCTTTTGTGATTTTACGGAACTTAAGGAAAGAAGTTGAAAAGGAATATGGTTGTACATTTTTTTTTGCCGAATATAATATAGATATCTTTACTAACTCAGTGGACGGGATAAATAGGTAAATACACATTAAAGGTTGAATTTCTGGTGGACTAGCCATAAGTAGGTCTTGGAGGAAAAACATGAAGGTGTTTACGAATTAAGCAAACAGTTTCTAAAATATATAAAGAGAGAAGAGTTAAAATCCCGTGATTTTTGAAGTAGCTTCTGCAATGTGTTATTCTAGTGAGGCCAAAAAGATACCGTATTGCTCTTTTTTGTAATTTAAAAATAACATCAGATTGAGCAGCTGTACTAGAACCCCTAAAAGAAAGACCAAAGGAAGATGAGACTCGTAAAAATAAAAATATGCTGTTTTGGAAGATGGTGAACAGATCTTACTGCATAGTCGGCTGAGGCTAGTTTTTTACTTAACGAATCGATATGAAGGGAACATTTAAGGTTGCTTCTTTCATTGTTTTTTAATTATCTTTGAAAACGATCAAGTTTACAGAAAGACTAAAAGATATTAGATATTAGATATTAGAAAGAATAAAAGAATTAAAAAAAAATTTGGCCTGGCCGAAAAATAATTTGTTACAATTTTTTTTTAAAATTGTTTAAAAAAATTACAACAACTTTTTCGTCTAGGCGACCTCTTGTACCTTATTTTGGGGTATCTTATGAAATTGATTACGCAAAAAAATCTCATGGAATATTTTTCCGAACAAACCCGATTTCCGAATTTATAACATAATTCTTTTTATTAGTTTTATTTAAAATTATATCGTAGTTTCTCCTGTTGATTTTTGATTTTAATTTACTATTTTTTCAAATTATAATTCATTATACAGGGTAAAACACCCTCGTATGATGACGTCATTATTATTTTTTTTAAATGGAATCACCTTTTTTTTCAATTTATGGATTTATCATTGCTGAGCTGATTCCAAGAATGTATAACACAAATTGGTACAGGGAGGCAAAAATGTAAAAATTCGCACGTGCGTCGAATTATATCATAACATAATATACAGGGTGAACCACCTTCGTATGATGACGTCATCACCATTTTTTTTAATGGAACCCCATTTTTTTCAATTTACAGATTTTCGTTGCTGAGCTAATTCCAAAAATACATAACACGTTGCTTCAAATTGGTACAGGGCGGCAAAAATTCAAAAAGTCCAAGTTACTTACGAAAAAATAAATGAAGAATAAACGTATTAAACACATTAAATGAAATTTCATATTGTTATATAAGTACTTTTTAATAAACTATTAAAAACACCTTGCATTATTTGTAACATTGTCTCCTAACAACAAAGACACTGAATGATAAAAGTATTTTCTAGCAGCTCGTATTAGTTATCCATAATCCATTTGACGTTAAAAACTGTCAGAAATATTAAAGTACAAATCTTTATTGTTTACGCTTTACAGAAGCTACGTTTACGTGAAAATTATTCAAGCAATTTATCATTTGCAACTTTTTTTACAAAATGCATTTAACCGAAATTGATAGGATTGAAATATTAGTGATGATTGGTATTGGCGATAAGATGCGGACTCTATAAGAAGTATGGCGATTTTTTTATGAAAGGAACCTAGATCGTGAACATATTTCGTAAGCAGAATAGAGCGAAAATACAAAGAATTAGGCCATGTCAGGGATGCAGCAAAGCATGGTAGGCCAAAAATTAATGAAAATATTCAACAAGACCTAATTTTGGCGGCAGTAAAAAATCTACACTGTACAATGTGAGAATTATCTCGTATCAAATGTTTTTAAAGAGGTAAAATACCATCCTTATAAAGTTCGTCTTATCCAAGAATTGGCTGAAGACGACTTTGACCGAAAAACCTTCTGTGAGAATATGATAAACCAACCTAACAATTTCATTGATAACGTTTTATTTTCGGACGGGTCAGCATTTCATTTGAACGGTCATGTTAACGGACAAAACAACCGTTATTGGTCCAATGAAAATCCACACTTGATGCAAATGTCCCATACATAGAGACTACAAAAAACGAACGTATGGGCTGATATTGTGATAAATATAATTATTGGTTCATATTTTTTTAATGAAAATTTAACAGGAGCATTATACCTGGATTTCCTACAAAATAAATTTATTCCTGGTCTTCTTCTTCTTCTTTTTCTTCTTTCTATATAGACATGACTCGTGGTTTTCCTACTGATCGTCTTCCTATTGAAGAGCCGTCTTTACTACTATATTTGTTGTCATTCGGCTTATATAATTGTTCCATTCTACTCTTCTATTTCTTACCCAGTTCTTGATGTTCTTCACCTTTCATCTACGTTGCATATCTGTACTTCTAGCTCTGTCCCATAGTGTCTTACCATCAATTTTTTTAAGTGTTTTCATCTCTGCTATTTCTAACATTCTTTTTGTCCTCTCTGCATCAGGTCTTGTTTCTGCCGCGTATGTCATTATTGGTCTGATGTTTGTTTTGTAAATTCTGTCTTTCGTGTACTTCCCGATATTTTTATTTCTCCATATTGTTTGATTTAGGCAGCCTGTGGCTCTGTTTGCTCTAATCACTTGATCTTCCACGTCGTTTTCGAGCTTTTCGTAACTAGATAATGTGGTGCCTAGATATTTAAACTCCCATCTTCTTCTTCGCATGCCATATCAGAATTATCCGACGTTGACGATCACCATTGCGAAAGCTTCTCGATCTTCTGCAATATGGAATAATTGTCCTGCATTTTGTATCTAAGTCAATTCACGAATGTTTTTTAACCAAATGTTTTTAAACTCCATCACTTGTTCTATTATCTGTCCTTCCAGCTTCAATTTACATCTGAGTAAATTTGCTGTTGTACCCACGCATTTTGTCTTTTTTGGGGAAATTAACATGTTAAATTTTCTGGTGCTTATATTAAATTGGTGCAGAATACGTTGTAAATCATCTTCACTTTGAGACAGTAGTATTGCGTCGTCTGCATAAGATTATTTTAAGTTGTTTTTCTCCTATTTGGTATCCTTTTTTAGTTCTTACTTTTTTTTATTTCGTCCATAATCAGGTTAAACAATAGAGGGCTCAGGGAATCTCATTGTCTTATCCCATTGCCAGCTTCAATAGGGACGGTTAGTTGTGGTTAACCTCTTTTAATTTGACCCGGTCAAATGCCTTTGTAAGGTCCACGAAACATAGATATGCAGGTTTGTTGTATTCTAATGATTTCTCTTGTACTTGCCTTATTATAAATTAAACGTCGGTGCATGATCTTCCCGACCCAAAACCTTGTCGTTCTTCTGCTAATGATATAATTTCATTCAATTTATTTGTTATTACTTTGGTTGTTAATTTTAGTGTTGTATTTAATAAATTAATTCCTCTGTAATTTTCCGGGTCCAATTTGTCTTCCTTTTTGAAGAGAGGTATTAGGATGCCTGATCTCCATTCTTGAGGAATTTTGTTTTGTTCTATTATTTTTTGGATTAGATTTAATAGTTGTTTGGTCAAATCTAGTCCTCCGTAATTTAGGAGTTCGTTCGGTATTCTGTCCTCTCCTAGTTATTTTCTATTTTTTAATTTCCTTAATGTTTCCTTTACCTCTTCCTCCTCAATATTTATTTCTTCGTTTGTCGTCACCTCTGGTGTTGATGGTTCATTATCGTCAGCTTTAGTCAATAGGGATCGAAAGTAGTCTACCCATGTTTCCTTCCGAATGTGTTTCATTTTTATTAGTTCGTTCATCTTTTTTCTTTGTCCTCTGCTCATTCTCCATATTTATTTTTGTGTTCCGTAGAAATCGTGTTCCATCTGAAACAATCAAGTAACTTGATTGTTTATACAATATCACCGTATAATGTCCATTTACTTGAGTTTTATTCACATACTTATAAATAACTTTGACTGCTACATGTCTTTTTAAGGTAACATTTAAAACATCGTTTCCATGATTGTGTGGTTCTCATATTGTACTTTTTAGATGAACTGATGATGCTTTCAGAATACGAAAGCGAAACGTCTTCAAAGTAGATAAAGTAGCCTATCAACTTTGTCTTTTATTTCTCCACCTTGAGACCGATATAAGAACCCACCACTCGTCTAAGTGATCCTTATATATATATATATATATATATATATATATATATATATATATATATATATAAATATTGTGGATATAAATATTGGGCATCAAATAAAACGTTTTACTCTTTGTGTCTGATACGACCGATGCTAATCTGGCCTAAAACCGCGACCCTTGTCGGATCCACAGGTGTAAAGTTAAACTCTGACATTATAATAGTTTGAAGCCCAACACGGTTTTGAGTTATCTGGAATAATTAATTAGAAGTTGTGTTATACACTGCCGTGGTATTAACCAAGCCGAGGGTAAGGGATCACTTTAAGCGGGGATCAATAAGATCCGTTTTAATTTTTTACCTATCCGGATTATACGGCGCAAAAAAGGTCTCGGAAAAACTTTCTGGATTATATACAAGCTACACTATTAGGAGCAACGACGTTAATTATAAAAAAACTTAATTACTTAAAAAAGCGGAACTTTTTTACAAGCCGTCGGAGATTTAAAAGGTAAAACCCCATTTAACAGAGAAAAAGATAAAGAATACAAATTTAAGGATATAAAAAGAGTATTTGTAATTTATAAAGATGCTATACAAACCATATATACAAACAAACAAACACACACACACACACACACACACACACACACACACATATATATATATATATATATATATATATATATATATAATTAAGTTGGCACCGTATGGGAAACATTTTTATTTTTAGGTTTTCAGAACTTTGCATCAATATTATGTTTTCATTTGGGTGATTCAACTCGCTGTTCTCTTTTAACCAAACAAGGTTAAACCAACGAAAATGGTCAAAAGAAAGACGTAAACTAAGATACGTGGAACAGGTGCAACAAGATCTTAAAACTTAAATATTAATGAGTGAAAAAAAAGAGCAGATCATAATGATGGAAAATCATAGAACAAGCCAAGAACCACGAAGGGTTATCAAGCTATTGAAGACGATGAGGTATTTTTGTCAAAAGAAAGACGCAAACTAAGATACGTGGAACAGGTGCAACAAGATCTTAAAACTTAAATATTAATGAGTGAAAAAAAAGAGCAGATCATAATGATGGAAAATCATAGAACAAGCCAAGAACCACGAAGGGTTATCAAGCTATTGAAGACGATGAGGTATTTTTGTAATTTATTTTCCCAGTGAACATATCTCTTCTTAAGTTTTTTATTTAGCCATTTACGGTATAATGTCTGCACACTTTGCTATCTCAGATGATTTAAGTTGTCCTTTTTTACTCGAGTAGAATCCAAGTTCTTTCATAAAAAAATACTTAACGAAAATATTCAAGTGACATTACATACTCTATTATTGTCATATGTATTTCACGAATTTGTGATTATCGCGATATTGTTTTGGATTATCGCTAAATACTCGACAGCCAATGTACATTCTACTGTACAGCATAAGAAGTTAATTGCTTTAGTCATGTAAATATGAAAAATATAATTTCTAAATTGAATTAGAAACATCGTTTTATAATCTTTTACACAGTATTAATAAGAAGCTATTTAGAGTAAATAGATGTATAAAAAGCACAGCATCCTAGTTGGTCTGAACAAACACGCAATGGTCAAAACCACAGAACTCCCGTTTCGACGTAGGTTCAATTTTAAACGCACTGGGAAACCTCGAAACTAGCCCTGCAAATTATGATGCTTTCATCGAAAAAGTTCGAAAATCCTCCCGAAGGCTTCTTTCTAGAGGCTTTAACGGCAAAGGACGTGTTCTAAGTAAATGTCAGAGATTTTGAAACAGACTCCTTTAGTGAGGAAACCATAGAATGCGGAGAAAAACTCATGAAGACTAAGACTGAGAGGAGGCAGCGAAATTGGATAATTGGAGAAGATGGATATGACACATAAGATAACGTGGAACCTTGTCAAAAAATTAAACGGTGATAAAAAAGCTGTGACAATTTCTAGTCAAGTTACCCCAATTTTTTCATGGAGTTCAATGGAAAAACCAGCCGGAGATTATGTCCGGAAAGATCAAAAATACTGCGGTGCTGACAACTACCCTCCCTAGTGTGCTTCCTTGCCATTTTACATTAAAAGAACTAATCGTTGGTATCGGGTGCATGAAGAATAGCAAGGCAGCGGGGAGGAAGATCCATGTATTGAGCAGATGAAGAAGTTTGGCACACACATAAAAAAGTGGCTACTTGAACTGATTAACCGATGTGTCTCTTCACTCCAAATACTCAAAATCTAGAGGAAAGCAAAGACTATTGCTCTGCTGAAACGAGGCAAACCTTCCGGTACCCATTCCTTTATTATGCCACATTTACGAAAGAATTGTACTAGAGATGGTAAAGTCAATACTCAAGCCTAGTATAATTCCCGAACAGGCTGGGTTCAGACAGGGAATAAACTGTACTAGCCGAGTCCTACATCTCACTGAACACATAGAAAAGAGCTACCAAGACAAAGTAATTACAGATGTGGAGTTCGTAGACCTCGCAGCGTTTGACATCGTCGGTCATATACTACTCATTGAAAGGGTCAGAGCATTAGCAAGAGATAAAAAATTCACAAGTGCGTTTTATTGCTTTAAAACAGGAGATACTGTGTTTCTTTTGAGGGGAAGAAAAGCCGCTTTAGGAACCACAAGAATGGTCTAGAGCAGAATGGGGTTCAATCACCCATGCTGTTTAACGTTTCCACTAACGATCAACGAATCATTCAAACTGCCGAGCACTTCCTGTATACTGACGGCCTTGCTTTGGCCGTACAGGACAGAACCATCAAAGGGGTCGAAATTAGGCGGTTGTATGTATGCTCTGTCTGGGGTAGATTGGCACATAATAAGAAAGTGGCCGAATAGCAACAGGATACCTAAGCAACGCCACTAGAGAAACTATATCAGTGTGAGGAAATTGACCTACCGGACCAGCGAAGACGAACCACGAAGTACACCGAGAGCTTTAGGCAGTTGTTAGACGACAGAAATTTGATGTTCGGTACGGAAGAGCACTCACACGACGACCTGCAGCTGAAATCCAGGAAAGGTTTTCTCAGTAGCGTTCCCGTGGAACCCCTAGACTGAAATCCCTGAAACCAAACACACCGACTGGTTTGAAATGCGATTGGAGTATGTGGGCAATACTGAACAACATGAGATAAGGCGTGGCCGCTGTGAAGAACAACAGAGCAAGATCGGACCAGCTCGATGAAAATGACACATTATGTACGTGTGGCCAACGACAGGACATGGACCACCTGCTCCAGTGCAACCAATATCCGTACCATACACGATGCATGACCTGTGGAAGGCCAACACCATGGCAATAAACTGTGCCCGATTCTGGTCCGAACACTTAAAATGATTACGTTTGGACACGAAAAAGTAAAATAAGTACAGTACACGAAAATTTTTGTTTACCTAGCACAGGGTGTCCAACATAATTTCGTGGAGGGCTAAGTTTAATATTTTAAAAGAAATACCTAATTATTATTTTCATTACTAATAATTTTACAAATTATTTCACGTAGCTTAGTTAAAACCAAGTGAGAAATGATTGGCAACTTGCACAATGCATCTATGTCAGTTGATATTTTAGACAGATTGCGTAGATTGCCTGTAAGATGGCTGTCAGTTAAAGATGATACGGTTTTTGATTTATTCTGTTTCATACGTGAAAAAAGCTGTTCGCATATGTACTGCCAAATAAGGAAATTTGTAGAAGAGCTAATTTGGTAAGTTTTAGGTATCTGTTGGGGCTAATACACTTTTTGTAAAATTTAATCAATCCGTTTCTTCTTTTTCATCATTCGGCTTATATGATCATACCATTCTACTCTTCTATTTCTTACCCAATTTTTGATGTTCTCCACCTTGCATCTATGTCGTATATCTGTACTTATAGCTCTGTCCCATAGTGTCTTACCATCAATTTTTCTAAGTGTTTCCATCTCTGCTGTTTCTAACATCCTTTTTGTCCTCACTGTGTCGGGTCTTCTTTCTGCCGCGTATGTCATTATTGGTCTGATAACTGTTTTGTAAATTCTGCCTTTCGTCTCTCTTTTATTTCTCCATATTGTTTCATTTAGGCAGTCTGCGGCTCTGTTTGCTCTATTGACATGATCTTCCATGTCGGTTTCGAGCTTTCCCAAGCTAAATAATGTGATGCTTAGATTTTTAAACTCCATCACTTGTTCTATTATCTGTCCTTCCAGCTCCAATTTACATCTGAGTAAATTTGCTGTTGTAACCATGCATCTTGTCTTTTTTGGGGAAATTAACATGTTAAATTTTCTGGCAGTTATATTAAATTGGTGCAGCATACGTTGTAAATCATCTTTACTTTGAGAGAGTAGTATTGCGTCGTCTGCATAGCATCAATCCGTTTGGAAGGCAATTATTGGATGCCGGTTAAAGAAGAGAGTTGCATTGTATATCAACCAATTTTAACTATAGGTTTAGTTTTTCTTTTTCAATTTCAATATCAAACGAATTTTGGAAGACTTTTATGTTTGGCATTTGTGATTTCAAGTCTGTGCATTTCTCATAACACTCATTCCTTAATAGAAAATACAGTTAGGGCTTCCTACTGAGGCGCTCTGATTATAGACTCCTAAATACAACTAAATACGTATAAGCGAATTTTAAAAGCACTATACGTGAAATCAAATCTTAAATGTCTTTTCTATATCTTTATTCACTCGATTTTTAAGTACTAGAACCCAGTTCATCAAACGTTCTTACTTAGATAAAACGGTATGATGTGGAATGCAATTTTAGATTTTCTATGCCGATTTCTTTCATCGTCTGTTTACTCTGTATACCGTAGAAAGCACAGATTTGATTGATACTCTGATTTTTTTTTTCCAACATGTAGTAGAAATCTTCGAATTTTTACTTTTTGCTTCGTTCCTTAATCTTTGCAACAACGACGTGTACTTGGTTAAATCCAATGTCTCTTGATTTCTGCAAGATAAGGTCTCCCAATGAACCAACTGCTTTTTTTCCAACTCTTTCTCCAATAAAACGACCTTCTTAGTGAAAGCTTGAGCATGTTTATGAAGGTAGAAATATGTGTTTCAAATATTGGAAGACTTTGCTATTAACGTTCTCAGCACAGCGTACCGTTTATGTTAAAGTTTTCATCTCTAATCAGGCGCAAATTCGTGAAATATACTGTAATTTATAATTTTGGGTTAAAATAAGATAAAACAATATTTTCAAAAGGCTACAAAAATTACCATTCTGTCAAACTAGCACATCATTTATAGGAATTTTTTCATGTTACAATATTTTTTGACAAGGGTATAGGTACAGAATCTACCTGAAGCTTATACTACAAAATTTATTATTCACCGCTGCTTACAAAGCCAAAGAAAACTCAAAAGTTTTTCAACTTCGCCGAGGTTGAAATGCTAATAGATATTTATTTCCATCTAAACATGTTCGAACAAAATTGGCGAAAAGGTAGGTTCTTGAATATAAAATTCGCAGAATACGCCAGTCGTCTTTTAAGCATAGCGATTGAATTGTTCAGCATAGCTTTAAACTAATCGACACACGGGCCCTTTAGAGCGATTTTAAAATTAAGCAGTATCTGTGTAGAAATCATGTAGAAATATTTTTAATTGGTAATTAATGCTTTTTTAACTGTACACGGATGGAAGTAAAGTTCAAGTATGCTATATTACATTACAGTTAATGAACAGTATCAACGTTCCCTGTCATGATAGCCGGTTTTGGAAGACATTTGCGAAAATAGATAGTTTAGCAAATTACGTATTTCACACGTTCACAATATTTTTTTCATTGTTAAATCGTTGGAAAGAAATGTTTTTACCAAATTGTAAGTGTTACAATTAAATGCATTTTTGGCAAAATATGTGAAACATATCATCAAACTTCACGAGTTTGTCTTACCATGTATTTTCTCAACATCAAGGATCACACATTGATTTCATTCATGCAATTAACTGCTTTTTGTTAGTAAACAACTTAACTTCATAATTAAATTCATCTTGTTAACTTAATCTCTCCTTAAAATAAAATTTCAAATTTTAATTACAACACCATGTCGCTTTAAAATAAATTTTTACACAAAACATCCTTATTGGATTATTGTTTGAATGGTCGCTAAAAATCCACTCTCCAGTGTCTTGAGGACCTGTTAATTTCAACAAAATTTATTTCCTACCCGGCGTAATCAGTCGGATATTACCATTAGTTGGACAAAGTTGTCCACCCTTTCGAGAGGTGAAAATGTATGTTCCCTTCATGTTAAATCTTATAACATCGACCTAGTGTCATCAATATATTATAATTCACAATTATTTTCTTCGAGGAAAGCTGGGAAAAACTGAAAAATAACATAACGCAGCAACAGAATCACTTGGAGAGAGGAAAGTAACGAACACTAACATATCAAAAAAGAAAACACCATGGTTTAGAGAGAAAGTGAAGACAAAATGTGTAGAAAAGAAGAAAGCGTTTTACAATACAGAACACAACAAACACAACAGGCATATAACCACTATAAATGAATCAGAAATAAAACGAATGCTTTAGTTAGACAAATAAAAAGAGAACACTGGTAGAGCTTCTCAAAACAGATGAAACACGATTTTTACGGAACACAAAAAGAAATATAGAGAATGATCAGAGGACAAAGAAAAGATGTGAATACACTAATAAAAACGAAATACATTCAAAAAGAAACATGGCTAGACTAGTTTCGATCCCTATTTTCTAAAGATGACCATATTGAACCACCAACACCAGAGGTGACGACAAATTGAATAAATATTGAGGAAGAAGAGGTAAATAAAGCATTATGGAAATTAAAAAATAAAAAATCACCAACAGAGGACAGATCTGACCAAACAGCTATTAAAACTAATCCAAAAAACAATAGAACAAAACAGAATTCCTCAAAAATGGAGATCAAGCATCCTAATACCTCTCTTCAAAAAGGGGGACAAATTGGACCCGAAACATTACAGAGGAATTAATTTATTAAACACAATACTAAAATAAACAACCAAAGTGATAACAAATAAACTAAATGAAATTATAACATTAGCAGAAAAACAACAAGGTTTTAGGTCGAGAAGATCATGCACAGACGCGAGAAATTATTAGAATAAAAAAACCGGCATATCTATGTTTCGTGGACATTAAGAAGTCATTTGACTGTGTCAAATTAAAGGACGTTAGCCACTTATTTAACTGCCAGAAAATTTAGCATGATAATTTTCCCAAAAAAGACAAAATACATGGTTTTTCTTCTTATTGCGCCATCTCCTTTCGAAGGTTGGCGATTCAAATGGCAATTGTAGCTTTGGATACTTCTGCACGAAAGATTTGTGTGGATGAGCGGTCAAACTATCTTCTTAGTTCTTTCAGACACGAGTTCTGGTGTTTTCCAACTGATCTTTTGCCCTGAACTTTACCTCCAATATGATTTGGAGTAATTCATATCTTTCACCTCTCAACACATGACCCAAGTATTGTATTTTTTCTTTTTTGATTATGCTGAGTAATTCTTTTTGTTTACTCATGCGCCATTAGTAAGTACCTCACCATTGCTAACTTTTTGTTCCATCCGTCTGTATATATGTATTTCAAAGGCATCTATTCTTTTTTCTGCTTTAGAGTGTATTGCCAAACTTTCACAGCCATACAGCAAAACAGAGAAAACGTAACATCTGATCATTTGAATTCTGAGCTCTAGACTGTATAAGATACTAATATAGACTAATCTTGTAATTAATGTTTTCATGTTCATGAGTGTTTTCCTCGCTTGTTCAATTCTTGATAGGATTTCTTTTTTGTGGATTACACTGGCTGTTGATATTTGCTCACAAATATTTTATGAAAGTTCTGTTCTATTATTTGTCCCTTCGCATACAAATGTACGTTTGTTGGTGTCTTTGAAAATGATAGAATTTTAGTTTTAGAAACATTTAGATGTAAACCGAACATTTCGCTATGACGAACTAGCGCATTTATTACATTATTATTATTTATTATATTATACGGTTACAAGAACAAATTTCTTCTTCTTCTTCAAGTGCTCTGTCCGTTGCGAACGTTGGCTATTAACATGGCAATTTTGATCTTGTTTGCGGCGCTTCTGAATAGTTCGACCGATGTGAGCCCGAACCACTTCCGCAGATTTTGGAGCCACGAGTGTCTTCTCCTGCCTGGCCCTCGCTTACTGTCTATTTTTCCCTGGACAATCAATTGTAGCAGACGGTACTTATCGTGTCTCAATATGTGGCCTAGATATTCAAGCTTTCTTTGTTTAATTGTATTCACGATTTCTTTCTCCTTTCCGATTCTTTGGAGTACCTCTATGTTGGTGACATGTTCGGTCCAGGATATACGAAGAATGCGTCGGTACACCCACATTTCGAATGCTTCTAGTTTTCTCGTTAGCGTCTCCGTCAGCGTCCAGGCCTCCACGCCATACAGCAAGATCGGAAAAATGTAGCATTTAACTATACGTAGTTTTAGGGGAAGAGACAAATCCTTGCTTATGAGGAGCTTTTTCATATTGCTAAATGCTGCTCTAGCTCGTTCTATTCTCGCCTTAATTTCTATGGTCTATTCCCATTTTGCATTTACGTTCGTGCCAAGGTACACATAAGATTCTACATGGTCAATTAATATGTTACTTATCCGTAATTGTCGAGCAGGTTGTTGCTTTTTGCTTATCATCATCCACTTTGTCTTCTTGAAGTTGAGGCTCAGGCCGTATTCCTCACTAACTGAATAAAGTCTTTTCATTACTTGTTGTAATTCGTCTATGGTACTGGCAAGGATCACCGTGTCGTCGGCGTATCTTATATTGTTCGTTAACTCGCCGTTTATTTTAATGCCCTCATTTGCATTTTCCATACATTTGTTAAATATTTACTCGGAATACATATTGAATAGGAGTGGGGATAATATACACCCCTGACGGACACCCCTTTTGATCTGCACGCTTTCAGTGAGTTCGTTGCCAATTTTTGCTCTTGCTGTTTGACCCCAGTATAGGTTTGCCACAATTCGAATGTCCTTGTCGTCAATACCTGTCTTTCGCAGAATACCTATCAATTGTTCATGATTGACATTGTCAAATGCTTTTCTAAAATCTACAAAGCACAGATACACGTCTTTATCAACGTCTCTACACCGTTGTATAAGCACCTGGAGAGCGAAAATTGCTTCTCTAGTTCCAAGTGCTTTCCGAAAACCAAACTGCGATCTATCAATATTTGACTCACATTTATCATATATTCTTCTGTGAATGATCTTAGTGAACGCTTTAGTGATATGA